GTTTCTGTGCACTTTTCTCCGGAATTGCTAGGTTTCATACAAGGAGACAACACAGACTACTGTAAATTCCGTGTGACACAGACGAGAGTTTTGGAGACAAATGCTTTCATTCCTTCTGAAAGTCATAGTGTATGTAACTCACAGAGTTTACATCTTTCCAGATCTGATTTTCAGTCAAATCCCGTGTGGCACGAATTGGCTGCTGCAACATTTGATACCATTGGTAGTAAATCATACATCTTATTGTGAAACACACTCAGTACACAATGTGGATGAGATTCTGGGAAAAATTTCTAGGAACGAAGAAGAAGCACTTCGGGAAATCCCATGTGGTACGAATATCACCGAAATGTCATATACAGCAGAACATCATCACATTAAGTGATTCGTTCTTCAGCAAGACGCAGATTACAGAATCACAGAGAATTCCTGAACAGTGGGACCGTGTGTGTGTGTGTGTGTGTGTGTGTGTGTGTGTGTGTCTTCATGACCACAGGGTGGGCATCAGTGCACGTTCTGAGCTGAGGCCAGACCATAGGAACACACTGGAAGGTTCTGGACTGTCCGAACAAACCAGTCCGTCCTGGAAGTGCTGCATCCAGAGTCTCCTTAGAATCAAGAATGGCAAAACCGGGTGTCCTGTATTTGGACTTGTTACCAGGATGTACCAGTCTCTGGAGAAGAATGTCCGTAAAAAGGGGAGCCCTCAAGGAGACGTGTGGGCATGGCCCTTCCGCACTGGGCTGCCGCACAGCACAGACGGCGAGGGCACGGGACAGGGTGGCCTCCTGCGACCACGGGGGTCACTGTGAGTTTACTCAAGGGCCTAACAGCAACAAGTCCTGGCCAGCCAGGTGGGTGCGCAGACGAGGAGGAAGTAGCCATCAGGACGCACTGGGTTCACTCACTGGAGAGACGCAAGGAGGACCCCACAGGCTGCCTTAAGGGTTAATGACCACTGTGTCCACGGCCTAGATGGAGGGACATAAGGACCCAACTGGCTCAGGGCACAGCCAGGACCATTTCCCAGGGGTCTCCTATGCTGGGGGTTCACAAGTGTAGGACATCCTGAAACCCAGAGCCACGGCCATGAGGGGAGACTGTAAGGTCCTGGCATGGCCCGGGCACAGAGCAGTGTCCGAGGTGGGCTGGGCTGAGCAGGAATGTTGGATGCCCACCTGACTTCTGGCTTGTGGCTGGCCTTAAGGGTGCCCTGCTGCCCGCCTCCTGGCTGACCTTAGGGGTGCCCACCCACCACCGTCTCCTGACCATCTGAGAACTGCCCGCCAGCCGTCTCACTTCCTGCCCCACCCCTTCCTCCAGTCCTGACAAGGATGGCACACCCTTCCCCCTGCCCTCGTGGGCACACATCAGGGACCAGGGAGTGGCTTTTTTGGGCTGCACTCCTGTCACATGGGGGTGGAGGCCCCAAGAGTGACCCCTGAGTGGGTCTGGGGCCATAGGGTGACAGAGGGTAGAGCAGAATGCAGGTTGTCAGGTCACAGAGCTGGGGTCCCCAAAGTTCAGGGCAAATCCAGCTCCTGCCTGAGACAGAGATGGGGCCCAGCAGGGGCATGGAGGACAGGGAACCCCAAGACCTGGTCTGTGAGGCAGAGTGAGTGACGGTGCTGCAGGAGCAGCCAAGGGGCAGAGAGATGCAGACACTGGTGATGGTGCAGTGAAAACAAACTGCACAAGAGAGGCAGCGAGGTGCAGAGTCAGTGGGCGACAGAACTAGAGAGAGTGAGAGATGGAGAGTGACAGACAGGTCGTGGGAGAAACTGTGAGGCAGGAACAGCAGCCAGGGGGAAAGAGAGACAGCGAGAGAGCGATGGTGAGAGCGGTGGAGAGGCAATGGGCGAGGGCAGCCTCCCGTCCCTGCGGGGATGGGGTAAACAGCACTGCCGCCATTCGGGTGAACCCAGAGGACTCCTCTGGGGGGGGCATTTTTTCCTCATCGAATCATCCTGGTCTCCATCCAGGGCCCTGCCCCAGAGTCATCCAGTGATCCAATTACCCCCCACAAGCTGGCCCTGTAGCCAGTGAGGGGTCCACAGACAGGCCTTTCCCACAACCTCTGATCAGAGTCCGGGGGCCTAAGAGAGGGTGGCTCAGGAGGGGGACAGAGAAATGAGAGGGCGAGGTGGGGTCATTGAAGGAGGCCACTCGGCAACCACCTTCCACTCAACTCCTTACTCACCTGTCAACCCATCCACGCACCCACCCACCTGCCCACCTGCCCATCCAGCAATCTGTCCAGTCACCCACAACCCAATCAGCTACCCACCCACTCATCTGTCCATCCACTCACCCATGTACCCGCCTGTCCAGCCACTAACCACAGTCTACCCATTTGCTCTTTCGTCCATCCACCTGCCCACTCAGTCATCTACCCCCTCCCTCATTCATCCATCCGTCCATCTGCCCTCCCGTGCGCACACTCACACATTTATCAGTCCACACACCTACCAGCCATCAACCCTCATACTCACCCGTCAGCACATTCATTCAGGTCCAGGCATAATCCCAGTGCCATTGTGGGGCCAACACAGGATGGACAGAAGGATGACCAGAGGCTGGTGGGGGAAAGCTGGCCCGTAGAGCTCTTTCCATCGATTTAATGCACACTCAGATGAAGCCTGGTGCTGTCGGCTGCATGGACGGACTCCTGGATAACTGAGCAAGGGTCAGCATTTGGACGCCCACATTTCCAAGACAAACACAAGTGCTAGTGGCCATCAGGGCCCATGACCAGAACATGAGCATCCTTGCTGACTGAGGTGGATACAGAACTGGAAACACCCGGACAACAGCCTAGGGTGGACCTGGCCCAGAACCAAGCGACACTTCGGTGGGCTTTGTAGGGGAGTGGTCAGGAATCGAGGACAGAGGCCCAGAGAGAAGGAAGGGCCCTCACCCCTGTTCCTTCTCCCTATGGTTGCAGTCTACATGGGAAAGGTGAGTGGGGCCTGGGGAGGAAGGTGGGCCACCTGGCTGAGCCCACCACCATCTGTGCAAGGCCCTCACAGCTGGCTCAGGTTCACACACGCGCGTGTGCACATCTGTCCAGGATCCCACACAGCCTCCACGTGGCAGAGCGGTGCTGCTCTGTTGTGTCTCCTGCTGACAGATCTTCCACAAGTCTGCCCCTGCCTGGGCCTTGTTTCCCTCGTTTGTGGACTGGTTCCAGGGGTGCCAGTGGAGTTGCCGGGTGAGGGCTGGCCCCTCCTGGCCCTGGTCAAGGTTTCTGACCATGGGCTTCCTCCTCTGATCCACTCTGGGGAGGGGTTTGTCATTAACTTCTTCCTGTTCAAATCAGTTGAGTCTGTTTCCAAAAACATATTTCGAAGGATTATTTTGCAAAGGAAATGTTTTTGAAATACTCTTGTGTCCTGTTCCAACCCAGGGAAGTGGGGGCTGCAGTTGGAGTGGGGACAGGCCTGCGGGTGGCCCCTCGAGGCCGGGTGAGCTAGGCTGCCGGTTTCTGGCTGTTTTGAAGTGGTATCTGGGTTGGATAAGAGTAGGTTTTGGGGGTGAAAATGTGGAAGAGTGAGGAGGTGAGGAAGAAGGCAGAGCCCCCATTTCCCCGTGCCCCTCCTTTGCTAAGTCAGGAATCCCTTCTCTGCCAACCCCCAGTAGCATTTCAGCTCCTCCTCAAATCACTTCTTCCTGCCTGTCTGTGACCTCTAACCCTCGGGCTCTGCCTGTTCCCCCAGAGTGCACATGAGCCCTGTGTCGGCCCACAGTGACCCTCGAGCTAGCTGTGGGGCAGGGATCCCCCAGCAATGTTGGTGTTCCCGTGGGCTGGCTTTTCCATTCATCCACATCCAGTTATCCCAACACCCCAAGCTCCCTGAATCACCACACACCAGAACCCCCTTCCTCAGAGCAGCCCCCGAGGGGTCCCCTAGCCTGGACACACATGAGCAACTGTGCTGAGTGGACTCTGGTTCTTGACTTTTGGGAAGCAGATTGCTAGGTCTCTCTTCAGAGGCACCTGGAGGGGGAATTGAACCACCAACCTTTCTGTTCCAAGGGGGTACATAATCGATTTGGTCCCCAGGGCCCTTGAGAAGGACAACTGTCCACCAGTGAGTGGGTTTCCTTTGCTTTTATGTTCTGTCTTGCTAACACAAGGCAAAACTGATTATCATTGTAAGACGGTCAGGACCTGGGTGAACAGGGAGCGAGTGTGTGTTAACGGCTGCTGGTGGTTTTCAGAAGTAAACAGAGTTCTTCAAAGAGATGAGGGTGAGGGCTGCAGCACCAGCCAATGTGGAGTCCAGGCTTGTCCACAGGACCTGGACCCTGTCCCCAGGCCCCCAGGTCAGCCAGGGTGCCCTCTGCCTGCCTGGACCCACCTGCAGGGCCGTGCTTCCCATTGCTATGCCAGCCTGTTGGGTGGCCTCGGGGAGCTCTACCCTCTCTGGACTTCACCTCCCTCTGCACTGTGTCCTGTCCGTCAGGTGCCTCCAGCTCGTAGCACACGGGGCACATGCATCAAGTGCACTGAGCAGGTGGACAGTGGGTAGGTGGATGGTGGGCAGGTGGATGGTGGACAGTCGGGAGGTGGACAGTAGGTCCTGGGTAGGTCGTTACTCTCAAAGACTTCGGGCCCTGCTTCCCAGAACCTAGGCTGCTCCTGGTGGGGCCCCAGGTTTGTCTTCTGCTCTCAGGCCTTACCTTCCTAGATGTCAGTTCTCCAAAGCCCCCCAAGGCCCTCAAAACCCCCAAGCAGTTTCCAGAGCCCCATGACCCGCCACAGCCCCCCAAGACCCTCCACAGCACCTATGACTCTCCACAACCCCCCATGACCCTTTGCAGCCCGTCATGACCCTACACAGCCCCCCAAGACCCTACACAGCCTCCTATGCCTACGGCCCCACAAGCCCCATGGCCCCCTGCAGCCCGCCATGGTTTCCAATCTGTCCACTTCCCTCACGGCTCCCCCTGTGACAGTGCACTGAGGAAACTCCATGGCTTGGCCCAGGATGACCACAATGGGCTATGCTGCTCAGAGAGCCCTGACTGACCGCTTTCCAGAGACGTTTCTCAAACCCCTGGGGACCCAGGACCAGGAGTGCTCTCTGTGGGAGCTGGCCAGTGTGGCCACATGTGTGAGCGGGCCGGCCAGGCCACCACCTCTGTGGCTGCCACTTGGTTGCTGTGGCTTCTCGGCTGAGTGGCCAGCCTCTGTGAACCTCAGGTTCCTTTCTCAGAAAAGAGATGAGCTCTTGGCCCTCTCAATGTCCAGCTTGGCCAGTGGGGACCAGGTCTCCGGGCACCATTAGGGCCTCACTCTGGCACTAACTGTCCACTGTCTCAATGGACCTCTAGCCAGGGCTGCCACCTTCCCCTCGCTGGGGGGGTGCCTGGGCTTGGGGGGTGAAGGCTGCAGCTTGTTGTCTCTGTCTCTGACGTTATCGCTCTCTCTGCCTCCCTTTCAGGTCTCATTTCTGCCTGTGTCTCCGCCTGTGTCTCTGCCTGTGTCTCTCCGCCTGTGTCTCTGCCTGTGTCTCTCCGCCTGTGTCTCCGCCTGAGTCTCCGCCTGTGTCTCTCTGCCTGTCTCCACTGTCTCGCCCTGAAGCTTCTGTCTCATCGCTCGCTCTTCCTTTCTCCTGCTGCCTGTCCAGCTCTCTCTTGGTCTCTCACGGTCGCTCTTCAAGTCTTTTCCTCCTCCTCTGAGTCTCGTCCTCTTTCCCTCCCTCTCTCTGCACCTTTCCCTGGTTCTGTCTTCTTTTGTCCTGTGACCCAGGCCCCTGTCCACTCATTTCTTGGTTTCTCTAACCCCTGCCTGCTCACCCCCAGTCCCCCAAGTCTACTCCTGTCCCTGGGGCTACTGGCTCTGGCCCTGCCCCCACAGATGTCCTGGACAGGGTGAGAGGTTATTCTGGGTCTTTCTTAACACTCTTGGCAGGCACTCCAAGGCAAGTGGTGGCCAAAGTGGAGGACACTATGTGACTGCTGGCTTGCAGGGGTGTGGTGTGGGGACAGGGATCTTTTCCATCCAGGCTGGGGCTGAAAACTCTCTCTGGGTCCAGCAAAAGCAGCCTCTCCATGAGGGTTGGGGTTGAGAGGACCACAGCCCCAGGAGGGAGGTGGGAGCCCACCAGCTCATGTCCCTGGCTTCCCTGAAATATCCCCCTGTCTGAACACACATCTTTGGCAAGACCTTTAACCCCCAGACTCAGGGGCCATGCCCAGCCCTCCCCTGCCTGCAATGCCTGCACCCTCATCCCACTGTCCGCTGCCCACTTGGATGCTTCAGCACCTAGACTGCTCTCACCCACAGTCCTCCCCAGCTGGGCTTCCCCTTGAGAACCGCCCCCCTCATCACTGTCCTTCTGAGCCACCCCTGCCCCCAGCAGAAATAGCCTATGAGGAACCAACTGAGGTGAAATATTGGTTTCTCTATGGAACAAAGACAGCAAAGAAAATCAATATATGGGGAAAACATCAGCCCAGGAACCAGAGACCCTGGGATCTCAGCCTCCACGATACTAGGCCAGAACCAATGACTCCCAGCTACCACTGCTGACCGCTTCAAGAGGGGTCCAGCAACAGGCCCTGGACAGAGTGGGGGGAAATGTAGGATAAAATCAATCACCTAACCTTCCAGGCTTGCAGCATGATGGAGACTGGGGGGCCCTGAGGCCATGGTCCTCGATTGCTCTGTGAGCTTGGAACTGACCGGCCCTCATGGTTCCACTCAAACAACAGACAGGCTGAGAAGGTGACCAGCTCAGTCCTTAGCACGATTAAGAGAGGGAAAAACAGAGACACAAGTAGAAACAGAGAGATGCAGAGACAGAATGCATGCTTCGGTGGGAAGGATTTTCTAGTGGCCAAAACACCTCATCAACTGTTTAAGGACATCTTAGGTGCAGTGGACAAGTGGTCCCAGCTCTGAACTCTCTATCCTGGTGGCACATTGGATTAAGTTTTGGACTGCTAACCGAAAGGTTGTTGGTTCGAGCCCACCAGCCCCTCTCGGGAGAAAAACAGTGGTCTGCTTCACAGCCTTGCAGTCCTGGGCCAGGCCCATCCTGTCCTCCAGAATCCACTGGCCAGCATCAGGTGGGCCGCTTTACAGCACGATGCTCTCTCCCAACGTCCGGTCTTTGGTGCCGATGTCTGAAGTGAGCGAGTGGGAGCCCAGGCGTCCTGGCCTCGGAGGCCCACGGCCTCTGTCTGCCAAGTCTGATGTGCGTGTTCTGTAGACGCCTCATGTGTGGACATGACCAAAGGCATTTTAGGTGATTTTTCTGGCTACTGAGTAGTGGAAATCTGTGTGTCACTGCACAGAACATTCTAACAGATCAGTTCAGACAGCCCGGGGCCGACGGCTGTGTGCAGGTCACAGCTAAGGAATTGGATGGCGTTTAGGATTGCTCCACCTTATTTATTATTATTATTATTTTAAAATATATATTGGTTTCTTTTTTTTAATTTCCATTCATTCATTGTTGCACATTCCCCCCTGCCCACCCCTCTCCCCCAGTTCACTCTTCTCTTTGAAAAGTAAAATAAAAATTCTTTCATTGTTATGCAATCCCTCCCCCCAGGTCCACTCCACCGTGCAGCCTTCCTTGTGGACTCCGGTCAGGATGGGTTTGTTTTTTTAAAATTATTTTTCTTAGATTTACAGAGACATTGTGCAGAACATATAAGCCACTGCTGTCAAGTTGGTGTGGATTCCCAAGTGTCCCAGAGGGTCGTTTCCAAGACTTCCGACAGTTTTTACCGAAGCAGACTGCCCCCTCTTCCTCCTGCAGACCAGCGGGCAGGCTTGAACTGCAGCCTGCGGCCAGCAGCTGCGGGCTTGTGCCCAGTGCCACCAGGGCTCCTTGCGGGACCACACTGCTTCCGCGGTTACTGACGTCTGTGTTGGTGGGACACGTGTATTCCAGTTAGTGAACCTCTTACTGTAATGGTCCCGAGAAGGTCTACACTTGGTGCCGCGGTTCTGCCTGCTGGGGCCGCAGGTGTGCAGAGCTGAACCCTCCTTCCTGGGGTTTCCAGGCAGCTACTTGGAGGAAAGTTGCCAGGGCTTTCTTTCTCCTGAGGCACCTGTGGGTGGTTTCGAACTCAGTCTCTAAGCGAGCATGGTGCGTGCCGCCCACGGACACCTGTCCACCAGGACAGCCTGCTTTATTTTCTGGGTGGTGTTGCCTGCCGAGTAGCTGGCCTCTAGCTCCAAGGCATCAGTCACGTGCACGTCAGTCACTGCGGTCCAGTGTGCACAGCCACGCGGCTCCTGGTCTAGGAACACATGCCCTCGGGGGGCGGAACCCACAGCTGGATTGCCCTGTGCCCGCCCCTGTGCCTCAGGGAAGGGCCATGGCCCTGGGCCAGAAATGGGCACACTGAGAGCTCCACAGAGACAGGAGCCCTGCTGGCACAGTGGTTTAAACATTTGACAGCTAGCTGAAAGGTCCGTGGTTCAAACCCACGAGCAGCTCCAGAGGAGAACGATGTAGCAGGCAGCCTGCATCCACGCAGCCTCCACGCAGCCCTGGGAGCCCTGAGGGCCGTTCTGCTCTGTCCCACAGGGTCAGTGTGGCTCTGGTGGAGACTGGGGACTTGCCAGGCCCGGTCTGTCTGTGTCCACGTTGACCCCTCGCTGGCTCCGGAGCTGGGGCGGGCCAGGTCTCTGGTTTCATCTGATTGCATCCCCAGTCCTTCCGCCGTCCGGCCCAGCCTGTTTATAACTCTGGCGTGCCCCGCCGGACAGCCGGAGACGGGTACTCGTGTGCAGAAATCTTTATGGTCCCTGTCCAGGCCAGATGTCAGGGGGCTGTCCTCCCGCGTTGCCCTGCCCTGTCCAGATGGCCCCTAATAGGCTGGGCTGGGCCTGCCCACAGCTCTGGCAGCCAGCAGCTTTCCTTATTGGTTTGGGGTGCTTGGACCCCCACAAGGATGGGTTCCATCTTGGGTTCATTCACTGATGGTATTGGGTCAGGGTTCAAGGTTTGCACAGCCTCCTCCTGGCCCCACACTTCCTGAGTTCTGGATCCCGTCCCAGCCTCTGTTGCTCCCATTCAGGTTGATGAAGCATAATTAACCAGGGCTTGGCGGCACCCCTTTTTACCAGCTTCTCCTATCTGCTCCCCAAGGACTGCTCACAGTAAGACCCACTGGAGGTAGCCACATGGCTCCACAGTGACCTCAGTTTCTTGATCTATGAAATACGCACGAGCACCCTCAGAAACGGGGGCTGGCGTGTCGGAGTTAGTGAGACTGGCTCGGGACAGGGAGGGGTTCAGAGCTGCTGTACGCAGGATTGCAGGATCGCTATGCATCGCAGGCAACCCAACCACACATAACAACAACATACTATGACGGGTTTGGAAGCAGGATCCACTTCTTAAACAACAGGCCTCCGGAAACTCTATGAATTTTGCTAAATGTCGGTAGTTTTAGAGGGGCTTCGGGCCTTTTGTTCATGGTCTCATTATGAGTTGTGCTCGACTTGAAGGAAATCAATAACAACCACCCTCATCTAGCTGAGAAGAGAGCCGACAAGGATTTGCTGTGAAAAGTAGGAATGTTGTCAACAGATAACAAGCCCAGGAGCAGACCCCTGGTGCTCAGGGAGTGGGGGTCCAGCGTCCCGGCCCCAGCCCCATGGAGGGGGCTCCCGGGCAGCACTGGGCCAGGGAGAGAGTTCAGATGGCAGGAAGGGTTGGGAAAGGTGGATGGATAGAAATGGGAGGTGGGGGGGAGGGCTGAGGAAGAGCGCTGCAGGGAGAACAGGCGCGAAATACAATGTGGGAAATTGTTGAACAGAAAGCGAATTTGCTCTGTAAACATTCACTCAAACCACAATATAAAGTTGGTTTGTTTTTTAAAAAGAACGAACCCCATTTCATCAGCAAGTGCCTTCACGCCTGAGCCAGTCACGTCTCCCCTGAGGCCTCTGTCACTGATTTGGATAAAGAGACAAAAAAATCCAAGACAAACGAACACTCTGAACACTCCGCTGGAGGCCGGGGCCTCCGAGGCAGCTCTGGCTCACGCCGCCCGGGACTTTGGAGGCTGCGCCTTCACGCGAGCAGACGGCCTCGTTCTCCTCCTCTAGTCGCCTGGTGGGTTTCAGTCACTGAGTTCTGGCGAGCAGACCAGCTGTAACACTCTGCGCCACCAGGGATCCCTACACAATGAGATGGTGGGATGAGGTGGTGAGCCCAGAGCTGCTCCCAGGGAGGGTGGTAGACAGTGGGGGCACTGGCCCGCTGGGCTCTCCTCCACAGCCTCCCCCCACGTCCTGTCTGGGGGAGCCTCCCCTGTTGCCCCAGCTGTAGGGTGGCTGGAGACAGGGCATGGGGCTCCTAGCCTCTGTGCTTCCACACCCCGCACCTCCCAGCACCTGCATCACTGGGGTCCCACCACCCCTTTATTCCTTCAGGCCACAGGCCACTGTTTTGTGCGCCCAGCCTCAGCGAGTGCCCAGTCACCGTTCATAACCCCATCTGGCTGCTCCAGCAGGGAAACTGAGGCCCAGAGAACACCTAAGCCTGTATGAGCAGGTGGACTTGCCCAGGCGGTGGCAGGGGAAGGGCGTGGAGTGATAGAGGATCATGGGAGAAGTTTACAGAGATGGAGGAAGCTGGGGAACTCCATCAGGAGGGTGGCCAGACTTGGGGGTCACACAAAGAGAACTCACCCAGAGGGGCCAGACTGTCCTCAAACGCCCTCAGGCAGCCTGCCCTCCACCGCTGCCCTGGGAGTGGGGACATCCCTGGAGGTGGCAGCCTGGCGTGGCCCCAGCTCCCCTTTGTCAGCCCCCAAAGTGGCCCGGGTGAGTGGGCTTTCTGGATGAGGGTGATAAGGAGGCCGAGGAGTGGACAGTCACAGGCCATGCCAGCAGTGGGACAATGCTGGCCACTTGGGGTTAATGAGGGAGGGAGGGGCAGACTGGTGGGATGGAGGGGCAGGAAGACGCTGGCACTGGAGGCAGCTGGGAGAGTGATGTTCTGGATGTGGGCTGGGGAGGTCCTGAGACCTGAGGAAGGCTCTGGGGCTGGGTCACAGCCCTGTCCAGCCGAGACCCCTGCAATCAGGGTTGACTCCAGGACTACCAGGTGTTCTGTGCTGGGGTCACGAGGGGACTACACAGCTGGAAGATACCCTGCTCTAGGGCCCTGGGTTGGGAGTTAGAGTCTGACTCTGCCCCAGTCACTGGGCAGCCTAGTGCTCCCTTCAGGGACACAGGGAGCCCTGATGCGCTCTCAGGCTAGTCCTCGTCCCAGCGGCCCCCGGGGGCCTCAGGGTTCCATGAGCTGTGGAGATCCAGGCTGTGGCCTGTGGGCCAGGCTGCCCTTGATGGGCCTGTCAGTAGCCGCTCCTTAGGCCACGCGCCCTGGTCAGGGGCTCCTGTCTAGCTGGGGTCTGAGCAGCTGGCTCCCTCTGCCCCAGACCCTTCCGTTAAGTGCTGATGGAGCAGGGAGGAGGGTGAGGACGAGGGACACTGCCCAGACTCCTGTGACCTGTGGTGGCCTCAGACACCTTGACTGCTGGGAGACACTCTCGAGGGCCAGAGGTCAGGATCACTGGGTCCAGCCTACAGCTGGCAAGACTGAGGCCCAGAGAGACCACAGTTCAAGGTCACGAGCCTGAGGGAGCTTGTCCTGACCTCCAATTTGTGTTCCCTGCCTGACCTTGAACTCCCTGATCCATGCACCACACTCTCCTGCACACTCTGCTTACACACCTCATGGCACATCTGTGCACACTCACAGAGCACACACTCATGCTCAGTTCACACTCATGCACACTCACCCACACAGTTGCCACACTACACACTTACACATGCCACAGTCATGCACACTTTCTTTGTGTGCTCACACACTGCTCACAGCACCTGCTTGCACACTAGCTCACACTTGTGCCATCTTCCAGAACACCCCCTCGTTCTCTGCATGCTCACCTGCACACTCTGCTGTTGGGGTGCTCCTTCCATCTCCCCACCTGTTCCTCTCCTGCCAGACCCCCTGGAGTCTGCAGCTGCACCAAGAGCAGAGGACATTGGCCTTTTTCAACCACTCACCGGCTCCCCCAACAAGCTCCTGCCTGGATGCCCCTCCCCCTTGCCTAGCCCGAGAGGAGTGAGGCTAGACTAGAGGGGTGTTGGGGGTGGAAAGGCCTTGCCTCCACCTCCTGCCCCAGCCTGGAATGTGCTGACCACAGTAGCCCAGTCTAATCCTGACACTGCCCCGTGGGGCCAGCAGAGTGGCTGGAGCAGGGACAGACAAGGGGGTGACAGAGGTCAGGCTGGTGGCACTGGTTGGTCAGAATGGACCTCTCCAAGGCCAGAGAGGGGCTGGTGGGTAGGCTTCCCCTCTCCCACCTCACATAGGAGCTGATCTGGGCGCCCACTGTCCTGTTGATGCCCATCCTGCAGGTGTGGGACAGGCTCTGAATGACCCTAGGTGGTGGAGTAAGGGGAGGGGGGAAGGGGGCTGCCTGATCGCCCGTGTTGAATGGAGGTCCAGCTGGCAGGGACAGTGCAGGCACTGGAGAGCTGAATGGAGTAGGGGCGGGTAGTGACCTGATCACCCCACCCTGCCTGGGGGTGGGGCTCCTGTCCCCACCTCTGCCTTATATGGGTGGCTCAGTCCACCTTCCCTCTCAGGAGCGAGATGGCACTGCAGGTGCGGGACACTCACCAGGGCTGGACCACACACCTGGACCTGGGTGGTAGGGAGCAGGGCAAAGTGGCAACCCAATCACCTGAGCCCCTCTGGGGCCTGGCTCTGCCTTCTTGGCCAACCTCAGCCTGGGAGGTGTGAGGGGGCCCACACCCTGTCCTGAAGGGACAGGGCTCTGGCGAAGACCACCCCAGGACTGGGGGCCTTCGATGGAGAGGTACACTCGGGCCTCCCCTTCTCTCTTGCAGTTTGAAGCTTTCTCCTTGGGGGGCCTGGCCCCTGGCTGGAGCCTGCTGGTCCAGGGACAGTCTGACTCTACAGAGGACAAGTAAGGGATGTGGCCCTGGGCTCCATCTGGGCCTCGAGGGGGACTGGGCAGGGCTGCAGGGCGGCCAGTGTACACTCCCTCACTCTCCGGCACCCTCCAGGTTTGAGATCAACTTCTTGTCAGAGTCGGGGGACATTGCCCTGCATGTGAAGCCTCGCTTCTCCACATCCACCCTAGTGGCCAATGCCTTCCAGGGGGGCAGCTGGGGCCCTGAGGAGGTGTCCAACGTCTTCCCGCTGGTTCTGGGGGAGCCCTTTGAGGTGATGGCTTGGGGCATTTTAGGGTGAGGTGGACAGGGTCTTGGGGCAGGAGAGGCAGGGAGGACAGGGAAGGCTGTGGGGTTTCCCCAGGAAGATGGACAAGGTTGCTTGGGGAGGGTGAAAGGAGGCGCATGTGGAAAGAGGCCTGGGAGCTCTGGTGGTGGTCAGTCTGCTAACTGAAAGATCAGGTTTGAATCCACCAGCTGCTCCTGACAAGGCAGCACCCTCCTTTAGGGGCCACGGGCCCAGGACCCAAACTGAACATTTCCATGAACTGAAGTGAACTCGGGTGTTTTTGGTAGAAATAATATTGAGGAGTCCTGGTGATGTAACGGCTTAAGTATCTGTCTATTAACAGAAAATTTGGTGGTTGAACCACAGGAGAAAGGAGGTAACTGGGGGGCCCCAGGCAGTTCTTCTCTGTCCTGCAGGGTGTCCAGGAGCCAGGACCCACTCAATGGGTTAAGGAGACAGCAGAGCGCCCACTGATGTTTTGTGGGAGGATGTCTCCAGGGGTCCCCCTTTTTCCAGCATCAGGAAGCACTGGTGGGGGAAGGGGCCTTACGGGGTACTCTTTCCTGCCTGGGAACCCCTCCGTCAGCCTCCTCACTGGGGCAGTGGGGGGTGCCCTGCCCTCTATACAGAGTGGAGAATCCCAGCTCGAGCTGAGAGCCCACATGGGGGGGTCCTGTTCAGGCACTGTGTGGTGAGGACTCTGAGACTGGGGTCCTCAGACACAGCCCTCACCCCCAGCTGGAGGTCCACTCGGACTCTGCCCACTTCCACGTCCACGCCCAGCAGCTGCAGGTCCTGAGGTTCGAGCACCGCCACCGGCCGCTGGCTGGGGTCACACGCGTGCAGGTGCTGAGTGATGGTCGTCTGGCACAGGTGGAGCTGGCCAAGCGGGGCCCAAGCTGGGGGTGAGACTCCTGAACCCTGCCCACTGCCCTGTCCACTGCCCTGCCCTCTGCTCTGTCTGCTGCCTTGTCCACTGCCCTGCCCACTACCCTGTCCACTGCCCTGCCCTCTGCCCTGCCCACTGCCCTGTCTGCTGCCCTGCCCTCTGTCCTGTCCTCTGCTCTGTCCACTGCCCTGCTCTCTGCCCTGTCCGCTGCCCTGCCCACTGCCCTGCCCTCTGCTCTGTCCGCTGCCCTACCCTCTGCTCTGTCCACTGCCCTGCCTGCTGCCCTGCCCTCTGCTCTGTCCACTGTCCTGCCCTCTGCCCTGTCCACTTCCCTGTCCACTGCCCTGCCTGCTGCCCTGCCCACTGCCCTGTCCACTGCCCTGTCCTCTGCCCTGCCCACTGCCCTGCCTGCTGCCCTGTCCACTGCCCTGCTCTCTGCCCTGTCCACTGCCCTGTCCACTGCCCTGCCCTCTACCCTGCTCTCTGTCCTGTCCACTGCCCTACTCTCTGCCCTGTCCACCACCCTGACCACTGCCCTGTCCGCTGCCCTGCCAGCTGGTGAGTGGTCTTGTCCTAAGCCGGAGCACTCACCAGTCCTGGGGGCAGGGCACATAGCTCTAGGCTGACCCCTCCTCTCTGCTGCCCCCACATTCCTGTCCAGGAGCTGCCCCTGCTGTGTCCACTCCCACCCAGCTTGTGTGGGGCTCAGGCTTGTCCTGGGTGTTTGCATGGACAGCAGAACCCTCGCCAGTCCTGTGGGCTGGCCCCATCTCTCCTCCCCACTGCCCCCACATTCCAAGTGTGGTGCACACCTACAGTCCGCTCACCTCCTCTCCAGTCTGCAGTGGGCAGGGCTCAGGCGTGTCCTGGGTGTTTACAGGGACGGTGGTGACTGAGTGGAGATGGAGATGGGAGGGAGCTGAGCCTCGTCGTCCAGGATCCTGGGGCCCAATGGCCCGGGGGTGGGGGTGGGGGTAGTCTGTGGCCCTTATTCTGTGTTAGCCATCAATAAAATCTGAGCAGGAAACCGGCTGCTGTGAGTGGGCGGGGGCTGGAGTGAGGGCCCTGAGACTTACCACCTGCAGATAGTCTGAACCCCCTGTTGTCAGGACACTGGGGTCTAGGAGGGACAGGGATGGGTACAGGGCAGGACAGAAGTGGGCAATGACCCCCCTCTGACTCCCTACCCTCAGCAGGACAGACTCTGCTACCCTCAGTGGAAAGGGTCCAGGGCACTGGTACTGTCTCCTCCAGGGTTCAGAGACCCTGGAGGCCTAACTCTAGGGGATCCTGCCCCTCACAGCCTGGGACAGTCACTCTGGGGCCCCTGAGCCTCCTCCCTGCTCTTCCTGTTGGGCGGAAGTGTCTTCCTGTTTGCCTTAGTCCACCTGGAGGGAGACGTGCCTCTGTCCCTGTTGTCCTGGGGAGGGGGGTCCACCTGGAGGGAGACATGCATCTGTCCCTGTTGTCCTGGGGAGGGGGGGTCCACCTAGAGGGAGACATGCATCTGTCCCTCCCTTGGGGGGGGGGTCCACCCAGAGGGAGACATGCTTCTGTCCCTGCCATCCTGGGTGTTCTGGGTGCCCTGGGCGGGGAGTGGGGTGAGGGGAGGTGGAGATGGGGAGGACCTCAGTGACGTATGGGTGTGAATGTGGCTGGGAAATTCCCCAGCCTGGCTTCAGGTCCCCAGAGCTGCCCCTCACTGCCAGTGGGGCCTTTGACACAATCCTTCCTGTTTTTAGAGTCAGGGTTCCCATTTGTAAAATGGGTGACATGTGTGAACCACACGGAGTTCCCTGAGACAGAGTGGCATGGTGGCTGTGACGGGTTTGGGAGACAGTACTGAGGGCCCCAGAGGGGGAGATAACCCAGGTCCAGGGACACACGTGAGTTTCCTATTAGCTTTAATACTTCAGGGTTGATTTGAAGATAAGTTAACAGTGCACAGCCCCAGTCGCCACCTGTGGCGACTGTAATCGTCTGTCACGTCTAACTCCTCTACTATCTGACCACCTGTCGGCTGTTCGTGATGGAGGTGGGCTGCTGGGTCACTTTTGATCCTGAGCGACCTGACCCACATGACGGGAGGAACCACAGAGAGGCTCTCTAACCTTTACAGAAATGAACAGCCAGGCTTGAACCGCCAACCTTTCTGTCATAGCCAAACATTTAACCACTGCACCACTAGGGTTCTTAACAACTATTTACCTTTCTCTACATCTATCCTCTATCAATCTATCATTTATCAATAATTATCTTTCTATCGCTATTTCTCTCGATATATATACCTACCTGTTCACATATCTCTACCCAAACTTGGGGGTTACTCAGGTGTCTTGAGGAGCTCTGATGACAGAGTCTGCAGCCTGTCACACTGTTTACGAAAAGGTCACATGCCACTGGCAGTTCAAGTTCACTGGTGGCTGCCGTGGACACAGTGGGCAGCCTCCTGTCATTACGATTCACAGCTGTAGGAATGAGGTGTAGGGTCGCAGTGGGTCAGATCTTATGGTGGTGGATTTGGGGTGTTTGAAGTTTCTATATATGTATCTCTTGTGTATGTGTACCACTGTGTTACTGTTACATGTTGTGTTATTGTATCTCTCAATGTGTATACACATGTCTGTCTACACATATCTATGATATTATCTATCACTATATTTATTTATGCTTGCACCAGTTTGCCACGCAGTCACTCTATCTGTATCTCTGTGTATTTCTACATCTCCTGGTGGATAGATTGTTCTCAATCTTAACCAGGTGATGTCATCACCAATGGAGGGAGAGGTTCCATAGGTATTTACCTTTACACAAATCACTCACAGGACCCCCACCCCAGGTCAGTGGCAGAACCCACAGAACTGAGAGCTGGGGGCTCAGTCCCAGCTCAGCCCTGTTCTCCTGTAGGACCTCAAACAGGTGCTAACACAGAGAACCGTGACCTCCTCATCAGTGTTGCATGCTCAGTGGGCCACCCTGGCAGAGGGCTGAGAGCAACGACTGGCCTCAGCCATGACGCTTCCCGCTGGGGGTCCAAGTGGGGCCAACTCTGCCCAAATGCCTTGACCTTGGGGACTTGCAGGTAGAGAAATGGAGACTGGGTTGTGGCAGGAGGTGGCCCAGGACCGTCATGCCAGCAGAGGCTGAATTCAGAGGCCAGTGGCCAGCAGCCCCCTGTCTCCTGCCTGGCCCCAGGAGGGGCCCAGGCGGATGGAGGGGAGACCCAGCGCCCTGCCCCCAGGTGAGACAATGGCGCCTGGATCCCCAGTGCAGCCTTCCTTCCTGACTCCCCCCGCCCCTGGCCACGTCCTGGCTCTGGAGCTTCCCACCCCTCTTGTGGGAGGTCTGGCCTTTTGTGTAACTGGGAGGGGCTGAGGGCTGGCCAGGGGCGGGCTGAGAGGACATGGACTTGGGCCAGGTCTCAGCTTGGGACTGACTAGGGCAGTGGGGGTGGAGGCTAGCCCACATGGTGGGATTCTGGGCCAGGCCTATGGACCCATTTGACCTGGGCTGACTGCTTACTCAATTTCCCTGAAGGTGAAAGGATCCGTCCTGATGAACAGAAGCTCCCCAAGGGCACACATATGTGCAACATGCACATCCTTGATATGTACATAGATGCACAGCACACACACATAAAGCACACACCATGTGTACACACACATGCACATCACATATGTACAACACACACCATGCACACCTGTGATATATACAAAGATGCACAGTGCACACACATTCAGCACACACCATGTGTACACATACATGCACACACATGAACATCACACATGTACAACACACATAATGCACACATACCCTTATATGTACATACATGAACTTCACACACTGCACACATGTGCACACACTCCTTATAGGTACATAGATGCACATAATACACAGAGCACACACAATTTTCACACATCATACATGTATATACATACATGTACATAACACACCCCAACATGCCACGTGCACATATATGTACACACGCAGATCACATACATGTACAACACACATGCACAGCACACACAATGCGTGCACACTCCTTATATGCATATACATCACACACATACAGCACACATCATGTGCACACACCTTATGTGTACATGCATGCACCTTGCATATATGTGCAGCACACACCATGTGTGCACACTCTATACATGCATGCACATTGCACATATGTATAGTACATGCATATATGCACCCCCTTAAATGTACACACATGCACATCACACACACACAGCACACACCATGTATGCACCCCTTTATATGTATCTACAGGCACATCACACACCTCATGTGCACATACTCCTTATAAGCAGACATTCACATACACACGTACAATACAAAGTATGTGTACACGCAAGCCCCCAAATCAAATGAGTACACATTCTCACACAGGCCCCGGCCACCCACGTCCACACACACATTCACATTTTCCAAATACACTCACACAAACACACACACAAAACGTGCACACAGACATGCAAGTCACACATGTACCAGCCACACGTACACACGTTCACACACCACGGGCATATATACAGGCACACATCCCCACACATGTACAGACACAACACACACTTCTCTACACAGAAGCACACATTCCCATACGTGCACACACCACACACATCACAGCGAGAGCCTGTCGGAAACAGGAGGGTGGCGCAGGAGGGGCCGGATTCCCGTGAATGACAACTCACGGGTCGCTGTGCGTCGTGTTGACTCTGTGGCATCGACAGCAACACCAGCCCGTGGAGGAAAGACCTCCCGAAGGCAAAGCCGAGGCCCTGGCTGGCTTTGTGCCCTGGGGGTTCCCTTACAGGCGTCTGGAGTGGGAGGGGCAGTCCAAGGCCTGCCTGTACATTCAGCACCATTTTCCATCATTTCGCCTCACTTTTCACTTTAAAATGATGACCTTCACTAATGAATTGGTCCTGTACAGATCATGCGGAAACCTTGTTCCCCAAGGTCAGGTCGGGGTTGGCCACTCTAGGTCCTGGCGGTGCCCAGGGTCATGCCCAGCCCCCTGCCAACTGGTAGAGGGGGTCAAGCAGGAATGGGAAGTAAGCACAACCAGGGGCCAGATAGGCAGTGTCCAGGCTATGAGAGGCCCGGCCTGCCTTGGCCAACAGCCTGGGACAACCAGAGCCCCGAGGGTGAATGGGACAGCCCCTCATGGCATGCTAGGCCTGTGCCCTACAGGAGGGCAGCTGAGGAGCTGGGTAGGGAGGAGGGGGAGGGCCCTGCCATTGACAGGTACAGCAGCCTGGTCACACTGGATGCCAGGAGCCCGGGAGCAGCCTCTCCCCCTTGTCACCCCAAACTTCCTCCAAGAGCCCCTTCCTTGGGGTTGGCACTGCCCTCCCTGACACGACCATTCCGGGTCTAAGCTAGCATGGGACCTGCTCCAGCTGAGGACAAAGCCGTCACCAGGGCTGCAGGCCCGCTGACCCAGGAAGGCAGAGCTGGGCTGCCGCGGGCGGGCCCTTGCCATGGTTACCGGCCGCCCACTCTCAGAGGCGGGCATTGTGTGGAGGATGGAGGCCGGTGGCAGGAGCCCCGCTGGCAGGCTACCTTGGCCTGGACGCAGCCTTCAGGGATGCAGTTCCCACGCTCCAGACTCAGAGCCCTCGGGGTGGGGGGGAAACTGAGGTCTGAAAAAGTGTGTGAGGAGGCCTGGCCATCTGGAGGTGCCGTGTGACATGGACTCAGTGTGCCCACTGCCCTCAATGGTACACAACAACAATGCACGCCCCAGAGTGGGTCAGTGTTCAGATGTGATGCTGCCCATCCCGCCCTCTTCCTCTGTCCTCCCATGGAGGAGCAGCCCATCTTTCTCCCAAGCCAGCTGTCAGGCACATGCACTTGCGCGCGCGCGCGCGCACACACGCACGCACACACACACACACCCCACCCCCAGCCCGGGGGGGGGGAGGATGCTCTGAAAGCTTTGCTGGAGAGGAAGGCTCCAGGTCGCGTTCCTAGGTTGAGGCTGCCCTCTGGTGTCGCCTCTGTGAAACGCAGGACCAATCTAGAGGTGCAGAGAGCAAGGATTCTCTCCAGAGGGCACTGTGCCCCCTATGCCCTTTTTGTGTGTCCAGCAGGGTCCCGAGACAGAGACAGAGGGAGCCAGTGGACCGCTCACCGCTCCCAGAAACTGCTGGGCAGGCTCTGAACCAGAGAGGACTGAGAAGATCCTGTCTAGGACAGAGGTGCTGGCTGCAGATGGGACTGTGGAACTCGGAGCAGTTGACGGCTGTTTCCCCACCTGTGAGATGTGAACAGTCAGGAGTCTACTCCTCAGAGCTGTGCCATCTGGTCGATGGGATCGTCACAGAGAGCCTGAGCTGGGACAGCCCAGAGGACAGTGCTGTGCTGATGGGCCTGGCACCTCGGACTTCTCGCCTTGTCAGCAGTCGATTGGTTACCTCGGGTACCAGAAGCCTTCTCACAATTGTCACAAGCATGAGCCCACCATGGCCACCACCCGACCGTCCATCCCATTGAGGGGCTTCCTTGTTCTTCCTGACCCACCAGAGACTTGTTGCTGTTGGATGTCGTCACGTCTCCACAACTCAGTGACCTGTGAACATTGGAGTTGCCCGACCTGCACCAGCCTCACAATCTCCCGTGGGGGGGGCACTGACAGCCACTGGGACAGTCTGTTGTGTTGAGGGTCTCCCTCTCTTTATCTAACCCTCTATTTTTCCCAGCGTGAGGTCTTTCCCCAGCGACTGGTTCTCCTGACAACACGCGGAAAGGATGTGAGATGAAAGCTCACCAGCCATGCCTCCCAGGAGCGCCCTGTGTATCTCCTCCAACACAATTGTTTATCCTTTTGGCAGTCCATGCGGATTCACGGCACTCCGCCAACATCATACCTCAAAGGTATCAAACATCAAAAGGCCAAAAAGCTGGAGACTTCATCATTGTTATGTGCCATCAAGTCACCTGCAATTCACAGCGACCCTATGTACAACAGCCCTGAACACTGCTCTATCCTGTGCCAATCGCACTGTCTCTGACACATGTGTCCCATTTCCTCAGTCACTGAGTCAATTCATCTCAAGGGTCTTCTTCTCCTGTGCTGTCTCTCCACCCTCCCAAGCATGACATCCGTTTCCAAGGACCAGTCCCTCCTTGCAACATGTCCAGAGGTATGTCAGCCTAAGCTTCTGAATCCTTGACTCCAAGGAGCAGCCTGGCTTTACTCTCTCCAGGATGAACTTATTTGTCCTCCTGGGAAGTCCATGGTATATTCAATACTCTTCTCCAGCACCACAGCTTAAAGGTATCAATTCTCCTTCTGTCATCCCTAGTCATTGTCCAGCTCTCTGATGCATAAATAGCAAAGACCGTGGCCTGTATCAGATGCACCTTAGTCTCAAGACTGACATTGTTGCTCTTCAGTACACAGGAGAGGTCTCTGACAGCAGACTTTCCAAAGCAATTCATCTTTTGATTCCCTGGCCACCGGTGCTAAGAGTGTTGATTGTGGGGCCAAGCAAACTAAAGCTGTGAAAAATCTCAATCTCTTACTGTCTATCATGATGCTGCCAGTTGGCCCAGTGGTGAGAATCTTTGTTTTCTTGATCTTGAGCTTCAATCTATGTTGAAGGTTACAGTCCTTGACCTTCTGCAGGAAGCGCTTCAGGTCCTCCTCAGCTTCAGCAAGCCAAGTTGTATCATCTACATAATGCAGGTTATTGATGAGTCTTCCTCCAATCCTGATGCCACTCTCTTTCTCATAGAGCCCAGCTTTCTGGATGATCTATTCTGCACACTGACTGAAAAGGTATGGAGACAGAATACATCCCTGGTGTACATCCTTCTTGATTTTGAACCATGCAGTGTTTCCTTCCTCTGTTCTGACAACTGCCTATTTAACTTAATTTGCTCCAAAGTAAACACCCAGAGTAACAGCAGTCAGGAAACCAAGACGTGCTTGGGAGCTGCTGTGAGGGGCCTGCCACGGTTCTGAGGAGCAGGCTCTTCCCTTAGAGACTAACCTACGGGATTTCATGAGTTCCTTGGTTTTCAGTGCTGCATAGTATTCCACAAAATGGGTGAACCTTGGAGGACATAATGCCGAGTGAAATGTCAGTCACAAAAGGACAAATACTGCGCAATGCCACTGTTATGAAACAGGACTGACACTGGGGTTGGGGGGAAACTGAGAGGCTAAATAATGAACACGGAATTGAAGCAGATGAGGGAGAGAACTGCTTAAAAGGAATATAGATTAGGTATTGTTTGCATGACAACAGTTCAGAATAAGAAATCCATAGTGAAGTGGACAGTGGGGATTGAACAACAACGAAAGAACTGGGGGTGGGCTGAGGAGGGAGGAAAATGTACAACAACGAATGAACGGAAATCCAAGTTCTCTATAAACTTTCATTAAAATCTCAATTAAAAAAAAGACTAAGCTACGCCTGCCCCATTGCGTGATGTTTTCCACGCACCAGGAGGCCTGAAGAATGAATGCCTTTAAGTTGTGGTATTGGAGGCGAGTGCTGCTGTTCCGTGGACGCCCAAAGCACGAACGTCTGTCTTAGAAGTGAGACCGGTGTGCTCCTGACAGGCAGGGATGCTCTCGCTCTGGCCATGTTAGCAGGAGGCGCCAGTCTGGAAGAAAGACATCATACTCAAGAGGGGGAAAAAAGACTTGGGGTGCAGGCAGGGGTGTGTGCCTGTGTGGGCTGGGAGAGCAAGGGTCCCCAGAAAGATGTTAGTAAGATCTCAGCAGTCACATTGTGGGTGCCTGGACCCCATGTGGCCGCTTGGAGGAGCTCTGCGGGCGAGTGACCATGCCTGCTGATGGATTCCAAGGAGCTGACGTGAAAGGCTGGGCGGGAGCTGGGCAGCACCACGCAGCCGCTTCCAGTTCCCCTTGGTCTGTCCCCCCGCCCATGCCATGGACACATCTCTGCGCTGATGTCTGTTGTCACCTCCTGGAGGGCTGCCTTGATTGCAGGCTCCCAGGTCCACTGTGTGAGAACCAACACCTGTGAGACTGTCAGAACCCATCGCAGCCACGTCGTCTTTCCTCCCTGCGACTCTGTTTGCCTCTTCTGGAAAATGGACCTATAATCTGTCCTATGCCCTCTGCTCTAGGCTTCCAGGCAGTCAAAGCAAGGAGAAAAGCTGGATGCTGCCAACTCTTGGCAGAAAAGGAAGGGGAATTGGGAGCAGAGCCCGTGGCCAGCCCTTCAGCAGCCCCCCAGGGTGGGCACGCCCTGTGCGGTGAAGAGGCTTCTTGGCAAAGGGTAGGATGAGGTTACCACTCTGCCCCTTCCGGGCGGGACAAGTTTTCCCAACGTGGCTGGGTTCTCTTCTCTCCTCCCCAGCTTCCAGCCTCCCTGCCCAGCTGGCAGCACCCCTTGAGTCATCCACACGCCTCCGCCCACCCTGGCCATGTGGCTGCCTGTCCTTTTAGGCCGAGAGACTGAGTCCCAGCTGGCACGGCTTTGCCTGCTGCCCTCCCAGCCTGCACAGCTCACAACCAGCCCTTCTGAAGGCAGAACTGGACTCCACAGACCGAGGCCTCTGGGGCCGACTCTGACCAGGGCACCAGACCACAAGACTCAGAGCACGTGATGTCATCACCTAGATCCTGACTCCTGGGGCCCCCATGTGTCACAGTGGATCTGCACCCTGAGATTTCCAAGGCTAGCTTTCCAGGAGCTGCCAGGCCTTCCTGCTGGGGTCTCTCTGGTGAGGGTCTCATTTGTCCATGGTTGACACATCCACCGGAGCCGGTGGGTATGTGAAAAACGGGTCAGACCGAGCACATCTGGATTCTTTAGTAATAATGAGCCCATGTTGGGTAATTTAGCTCTCTGGGCTTAGTTTCCACATCTGGAAAATGGAACCAAATGCCGTATGATTCCTCTCTTTGACTTAACAAGGAACCCATTACTATCAAGTCAAGTGTAGCCCATAGCAAGCCTGCAGGACAGGCTCCCCGTGGGGTCCCTCAGCTCGTGACCCTTTGTCCGAGTCAGGAGTCTTATCTCTTACCTGCAGAGTAGCTGGTGGTCACCACTACTCACTGTGAGGCCCACAGCCCAGCATTTCAACCCTTATGCCACCAGGGCTCTGCCATCAAGTCTCAGAGTTCCCCAGACGTTTGGTGGTCTGCTCCCAGTCACTTCCTTTTGGAATGTGACACTGGATGGGGACCCGGGCAATCCAGATGGGTGAGGGGACACCAGGATGAGAAGAGACCCAGGGGACAAGGGGACGAGGCCCTCTTTACAGGGACACAAGGGTCCTTGCGCTGAGTGACCTGCAGGGATGGTTGAGGAGAAATGACTCAGGGGACCGACGTCCAAAGACACAAGCACATCTATGCCAAACACGAGACAGGGCGTGCTGTGTCCCCTCTGGGCCGTCCACAGGCCTTCAGAGGAGGCAGTGCCCTGGCCCACCAGCAAGACACCCTGTCCCCTCCCTCCACCCCCACCCCGTCCTGCCCAGACACCACATATGCTCCATGCCCTGGAAGGCATTTCCAGAACAACTGCGCTTTGGAGAGACCCAGACGTTTCCAAGGCCAGCCTCCTTTGGAACCCGATGCTTGGTGTCCCACATGGAGCTGTGGGGACAAGGAACCTGCCAGGGGTGTGGCTGCGGTACAGGCAGTTTCCACTTGAATTCCCCTTGGGAAGGAGGTCAGACATTTGGAAGGGCGCAGATAGACCCCACTTGTCCTCTAAGGAGACACGGCCCACTGTGAACAGGGGCTGTGTCTAGAGTTTGTGGAAGGACGTGGATTTTCTTTTTTACTGTAACACGCTTTCCCAAAAACCCAGCCCAGAACTCACCCCACGATCCCATGGGGTCCACCCTGAGTTCACTGTCCTTAGGGTTAAGGACTGGGTGTGGAAAAACTCCTCCCCTAAACATGCATCAGAATGTCTTCACATGAGAGAGAGAAAGAATGCTCATTATGGACTAAAACTCAAAGTAAAAAAACCAAGCCAGGTTTGCTAGTCCAGCACCGGTAGAACCCTGGAGACTACGGGCCTTAGTGACCCTTCGGCCCTGGGACTGAACTCTCCCCTCTCCAGTGACTCAGCTTTGAGCCAGTTAACAGACTCACGGGTGATCAGGGCCAGCAGGGAGGTACGTACACTTGAGAACAACCAACAACTCAGAGACCAAAGTGCAGCTCGTGCCTGGGAGAAAGCCGAGAAGGCACGCAGAGATGGGGGGACAGAGTGGGGGCCACAGGGAGGAGGTGGGGGAGTGCTGCTCCAAGGTGCGGCTGCCATCGGCGTCAGGACACCCACTGCGCTTGGGCTGCTGCATGGGAAGCCCGGGCACAGTCACTCATGGACCCATTTCACTGGGTGTGTAGCTCCACGAGTCCAGCAACTGTTGTTGTTGTTTGATGCTGTCAAGTCGTAGACGACTCATAGCGACCCTACGAACGACCAGCCTGAGCACTGTTCGTAGATAGAGTTTCCGGAGGCAAGCCATTTCGGAAGTGGATGCCGCTCCTGCTTCCAGGCTTGATTTAGTCGGGAAGCTCCAGCCAACACTGTCCACCATGGGTGCCCATTACCACGATTGGCACATCACTGTCACAGGCTTCAACACCACAGCAACCACGAGTTACCTCTGTACAGCAACGCACAGACCACTGCTATACCACCTAGAAGAATGTTTGACAGAAGACAATTTGAACCTGTGCCCTCGGGCCCTTTGGGCTCAAGGCTGCCTCCTGGTTCAAACCCTAGGCCCAGGCTGGCTAGCCTCACTTCAGGGACAGAGCAAACCTGCACGTCAGACACATTCCCGGAAAAGCAGTCGACTCCAAAAGCTTGCCATGATTCCTTCACTCCCACCACCATGCTCCTTCCTTCTGGCAAGGAGAACTTCCCAAGAGCCTGGGAGGAGCCAGCGAAACCAGGAACAACATGGCCGCTTCTTTCCCAGCTGCCTTGGGGCTTAAGGCCAGTCCAGCAACTAAGTCAAGAAAATTCATTCATGAACTTTTGCAGAACAAAACCAGATTTTACCGGGTCCAGTGCCATGGCCGAGATGGTGGGCCGTCTGAGTCCCCATGTCGGCCCCTTATTGAGGCCTCACCCCACCTCACCAGCCACCAGGTCACCTCTAGACCCCAGGAAGCAGGCTGCGTGCTGAGCCTGGTGCTGGCAGCCCCTGGTTCTGCGCAGATTCAGAACGAAGGACAGAGAGGGACAAACAGACATAGATGTGGGTCCCCAAAAGCCCTGGGCCAGAGAGCCAGACAAAGGAGAAAGGAGGCTGCAGTGTGGACCCCTGGTCTGGGGCTGAGGCCTGGGGTCTCACACAGGGCTTGCCCACTAAGACCAAGGACAGCACGTGGCGGCTCCAGCAACCAGAGGCCCAGGACACAGAGAGCATCACCCTAATCGACATGGGCTTACAGACGCAGGTTCCGTTTGCAAGGCCTCAGCCTCAGTGAAGTGGGCTGCAGGGCTGCACCAGTGACAGAGCAGTGCAGAAGGAGCAGTGTGGAGGGGAGGCTGGAGCAGTGCTGAGGGGAGGCTGGAGCAGTGCAAAGTGAGGCTGGAGCAGTGCGGAGGGGAGGCTGGAGCAGTGCAAAGTGAGGCTGGAGCAGTGCGGAGGGGAGG